TAATATAGTTAATATTCGAATAAAATTTTGCTGGTCTTTGATTTTTGGAATATTTCATCGGACGATCGAGTTTGAAAAGAAGACTTTCTATGAAAGCTTAGGTGTTTCGACGTTAAAGAATCACTGTTGATGTTAATGGTGCTATATATAATAATTGCACTTACATATTCTAACTTGAGGAAGGAGGCGCGCTTTCAACAAGCCGAACGACGCGTTTGGTGAAAGCGAATACCTCTAATGTGAAACTTCTTTGCATGAAACTCGGCATTGTTCTGATGAACTGCCTGATTTGTATAAAGAAAATTCTTATTAGGCGATTTCACTTTGCATGCCAAACCCTGGGACCGAATTGTGACTCGCGTTACTTGTTGTATACCTGACAATATCGATGATAGAGATCTATAAGATTGTATCTGTAGATCTATAAGATTTTTAGATCAGTGTTCTCACGTATGTTATCAATAATCACGTAGGAACTGTAACCAAAGAGTTTGGAACACTGTTAAAATTTTTAAAATATTTGTTTGTATGTAAACAAATATTTTACTGAAAATATTATCTTCAAAAATTATAATTGTATTCCTAACACAAGAATTGTTAATTCTTAAAAATCTTACCCTCAACAGTCTGCATTTTTAACAATCTTATCAGATTATATCAACAGCTTTTTGATATAATCTGTTTGATAGCATAAGACATATCACTTATATGTGACACAGTATCAATATCAAAATAAGTAGATGATTGATTGAATTCTACATTGTACTTGAGCGATGGTTTTGTAAAAAAGTAAGCAATGAAGTAATTATTAAATGTAATCTGTTTCATTAATGTTAAAAGATACTATACCAAGTGCTACCTTAAAACAAGTATTTATATACAAGAAGGTTTTTATTTATTAAACACTCAGAGTGTGTTCCAAATTTTTGAGCAGTTCAAAGATTAAGCTCATCAAGGTTAAGAGTAATTTTCGAATTTTGTCTATGCAAGAGATTTATGTTCTTATCACGCAATGTATAAACAAACAATTACCTTGCCATTAATTGCTTCCATGTCGACAAAAGGTGTTCCGAACGTCTTCCTATTTCGTCCAGGTACGCCTGACGCCTTCGAAACGCAATATTACGTCGTTCGAAAATTCTTATTTTCCATTCGAATCACGCGGCAAGCATATTTTACTTACCAAAGCAAGAAAATGTCCACCTCGTGCAATGTTATAAACTTATGACAATGTTAATTGTAATATTAGTCAAATCTTAAATGTATATCCTTATTATTGTAGAAACAAACATGTCCCTCGCGATATCGAATTTAATTTTCTGATTTATGTTGACCAAATATATCAATTTTTAATTAAAGATAATTGTTTCAATGATAAATTCAAATTGATGTTATATATATTCAAATGTTTATTACAGACATATTTTTATTTACAATTTAAACTCTGTTTTAAAAGGTATATACAGGGTGTTCGGCCACCTCTAGCAAAAATTTTAATGAGCGATAGTAGAAGCCAAAATAAGACGAAAATCAAGAATACTAATTTGTTGATGGAAGCTTCGTTAAAAAGTTATTAACAATTAAATTCAAAAATTTCAAATCGTTCTGGAAAAATTATTTTCGGTTGCGGGGGTCAACTACAATCATTTTTGGTGAGTACACATACCTCCGAAATCCTATCTACTTTCGAGAAAAAAAATCGAGTAGGTGCTGAAATTTTTCGGCGAAAAAAAATTTTTCAAATCGTTTTAAAAAAATTATTTTCGGTTGCGGGGATCAATTACAATCATTTTTTATCATTACACATACCTCCGAAATCGTACGCACTTTCGAGAAAAAAATTCCTTACTGAAAATCCAATTAGATGCCTAAATTTTTCAACGGAGAAACAAAATTGCAAATCGTTGTGGAAAAATTATTTTCGGTTGCGGGGGTCAATTACAATCAGTTTTTGTCATTAGACATACCCACGAAATCCTGCCCACTTTCGAGAAAAAAAATAGAGAAGGTGTGAAATTATTCGAGAAAATTAAAAAATTGCAAATCGTTGTGGAAAAATTATTTTCGGTTGTAGGGTTCAATTACAGTCATTTTTGGTGAATAGACATACCCCCGAAATCTTGCGCATTTTCGAGAAAAAAATTCAGTAAGAGCGACACTTTAAACGTTAATAACTTTTTAACGAAGCTTCCACCAACAAATTAGTATTCTTGATTTTCGTCTTATTTTGGCCTCCACTATCGCTCATTAAAATTTTTGCTACAGGTGGCCGAACACCCTGTATAGTAATTTATACATAAAATTTGAATTAAAAAATTTAGTCATATAATGATTAAAGTAGTATAAATTTGTGTTTAAAAATAAATTACTTAATATTTATAACGCATAAATTAGACAAAATTTGTATATCCACCTTCTCAACAAAAACACCTTTTTCTTTATTTATAATTTGAAGCCTGTTCTGCCTAATGAATATTTAAATGGCTACAGTATTTTGACTGTATCTATTTAAGTAACGTAATCTCAATAATCTTAATTACAGGCTTGACTGAAAATACTTGATGAAGTATGAACTCTCTCTATTGCATAAATTGAAATAAAAATGTTCAAACGTTATCAAAAGACGTGGAGACCCCATAGAATTCGATTACTATTGCTTCGAATTCAATATCGATATACATACGTAAAATTGATGTACATACTTGAAATGCTGTGTCCAACAAAATTTCTAACATAAGAATTCGAAATCGCTGGGAAAACACTTTTACGATGCTACCAGATGTCAGACCGGTATGTTATTCTAATCGTACGATCGGGACGCTGGTTGCTTTCCGACGCAAAATGCATCACGATCGAGACACCGTATGCCTAACGGAATATGCATACTGCACCAGGATAAATGCGACGGTCCAAGCTTGCAACCTTTCCTTTTTAGGTAGCCTTATACGTGAATAACTGTGCGCGTTCTCCATCGATCCCCCGAACTTCTGGATGCAAACTTTGTTAACCGAAATTTTAACCCCTTCCCTTACTCTAATTTGCTTCATAGACCATTTCTTACACGTCAGAAAACATTTTATATATTCTCAAAATGACTTACAATACTTTCATTTTTATTATTATTATAAAAATCTAGTAAAATTCTTTTTCGTTTATCTTGTATTATTTTCCTCAAAGAGCACAGAGATGCTCAAGAGAGATGCAAACTTTATTGATCAAAATTTAACCCCCTCTCTCACGATTATGTGCTACATAGACAATTTCTTACATGTCAGAAAAGATTTTATACTGGGCGTTCGCCCACACCTGCGAAAAATTTTAATGGGAGATTCTAGAGTTCAAAATAGGACGAAAATCAAGAATACCAATTTGTTGATGGAGGCTTCGTTAAAAAATTATTCACGTTTAAAGTTCCGTACGTATTGAATTTTTTTCTCGAAAATGTGCAGGATTTCAAGGGTATGTCTGTTGACCAAAAATGATTGTAATTGCCCCCTGCAACCGAAAATAATTTTTTCAGAACGATTTGAAATTTTTCTTTTTCGTCAAAAAATTTAGACCCCCTGTCGTTTTTTCTTAAAAATTCGTTTTTCATTTTTAATAAATTTAGTTAACGCTGTACAGGAAAGTTGTTTAATACTTTTTTGTAGGTATCCATGAGCTCTAGTTCCCCCCAAAATTTCATTTAAATATATTCACTACTGTAGGATGTGGCTAATTGAAAATTGGACCATTTTTATGGGGTTTTTCTCACTTTACGGTGTTAGGGAACAAATTTTTGAATATTTTTGGAATCTCTACATATTCTTCATCCAAATACGCGTCGTTTGCATTTTGAAACATTCAAATCCTTCAATCCGTTCAAAAGTTATGATGTTTTTAAGATTCATATGAAACTTCAGGCAGACATTTCTGGCCAGAAATTATATTTTCGGTGAGGATTTTTTTTCTCGAAACTGAGTAAGATTTCGAGGGTATGTGTATTGACCAAAAATGATTGTAATCGACCCTGGTAACCAAAAATAATTTTTGCAGAATGATTTGAAATTTTTTAATTTAAGTTTTTAATCGTCTTATTATTATTATAAAAATCTAATAAAATTCTTTTTCGTTTATCTGGTATTATATTCCCCGAAGATCACAATTTGTAATATCGTTCCGTTCAGATAGTCGTTTCACGGTGCACCGGTGTATTCCTAAAATCTAAAGGAGGAAAGTAGAAGATACGCGAAAAGGAAGGAAAGAAATAGGAAAAACCTGTCCACTTCTGAAACCCTCCGCGGCGATAGCGTGGGCGGGAACGTGTTCACCGGTTTCTTTACACGGCACAAAAACTTTCTCCGAAACGATGGTTGCGTTTACTGGGGAGAATTTGTGGGACGCGTCGGAAAGAACAACGAAGTGTTGAAACAAGTTGGGTCAGTGACTTTAGCGACGCTCGTGTCGCAGACCCTACAGGATGTGTTACTTGGATCGCTCGCATAATTAATAACAGACAGCGCTCAGGAGGCTTGTATCCCATCGAGTATGAAACATTGATACGAATCTCCGTCCTCGTTCGATAAAGCTTGCGGAAAAATTTTTATTCAAAAAACTTACAGCGTCTATGAAATTTCAACAATTTATAGTATATTGATTTGGGGAACATGTTCTGTTAGATAATTTCAACCGAAATTGTTTCGATGTTTCGAGAAAATCTTCGAACCTATTTTACAGCTTCTGAATAGATGATTGCCTATTTTATCGAGCCGCCATTGATGAACGTTTGGGAAAATAGCATCTATATATTTTCAACAATTTATTTGGGGAATAAGTTTTGTTAGAAAATTTCAACCGAAATATATTTGGTATTTCGAGCAAATTTTCGAGCTTATTTTACATATTTTGGATGATTGTGTATTTTATCGAAAGCTTTCGCGCGCAATAACGTTATTTCCAGCCGCCATTGACGAACGTTCGAGGAAACAGCGATTGATGGTCCCAAATCGGTTCTGTTGCAGATAAACAGTAAATATAGCGAGGAACTGGCACAGGAATGTTTGGAATGGATCAAGACGATCACGGGCGAAAATATAAACACCAACGGGGACATGGACAACTTCTACGACATCCTAAAGGATGGAGTACTTCTTTGCCAGTATTTATACTCCGTTAAAACCAGACTCGTCGTCGCGATGGCGGTTCGTTCGGTGTTAATCGGTGTTTCCTCGTTTCAGATTAGTAAACGATATCAAGGAGGGCTCGGTGAAGAAAATTAACAAAACCAGTCTCGCTTTCAAGTGTATGGAAAATATAAATGCCTTCCTCGAGGCCGCGAGGGCGCTGGGCGTCCCGGCGCAAGAGACGTTCCAGACTGTCGATCTCTGGGAAAGACAAAATCTTAATTCCGTAGTGATTTGCTTGCAGTCTCTCGGTAGAAAGGTACGAGGAGAATTTAAATTGCACAGAAAGTATAGTCTACTAATTATACTGGTACAAATCACATAAACATAGGCTTGAAAATACTTATTTTTCAAATTAAAACGTTTTAATACAAATACTATAAACTTGGATGTCAACAGAAATATGTAAACACGATTGGAAATCGCTCGATCAGGAGAAAAATGAAATATTTCTTCACTATTATTAATAGAGCTTTTCAACTCTTTGTATATTATCGATTCAAGGCTTAAAAAATTATTTAAAATTTTTAAAATCGATAACAGATGGAGTGTAAATAATACATCATGGAAATAACAAATATAAAATCTTTTGTGAATCCTCTCGAGCTTATGAACTAGCTATGCATGATACTAAAATTATTAAACTTTAGACACGTTCTGAAGAAATGATTGATTGGATAGTTCCAGCATTATTTTGATTTGAAATTAAATTTCTAGGCGGGTAACTATGGGAAACCAAGTATCGGACCAAAAGAGGCAGACAAAAATGTACGTAATTTTACCGAGGATCAATTAAGAGCTGGACAGGGTGTGATAAGTCTACAATATGGCAGCAACAAGGGTGCTAATCAAAGTGGAATTAATTTTGGGAACACTAGACATATGTAAACACATCTATCGTAACGTCATCCGAAATAATTCCAATTCCTTGTCGTGGTCCAAATTATTCAAGATGGCGCACAAAATAGATCCTCGCGCATGGACGATGAACCAGATGACTTCATATGCATTTACATTAGGAGATAGTAAAATACGCGCATACCGTTGGGTATGTTATAAGATTTCTTTTGTACTGTTTTGACAAAATGAGCAATCTCAATGTTACACATCTGTGCTTAAACCGAACATTTTAAACGTACGTCTCGTATTAAAAATACGTATATCGCTGTTGAATCGTGAACGATTGAAAATGTGATTCGCTCTTTGAAAAAGGAACCAATTTATTTGCAAATGTAAGAATAACGTTACATTATGCCGCTAGCAAAGATTGGACAATGTGACTCCGTATTTGTTAAATATTACATATAGATTATAAAACAGAGATACTGGTGCAGCTAGGTACTCTGTTACTGTTACTGTAAAACCCTATACGAGTTACAGTGTAACCAAATTATACTTTAAAAAATTCATGTTGCACGTGAGATGATAACTATTATAATTATTGTATAATGATAAATGATATATAATTATATTAAGTATTTTGTACAAATATTTTTTGATGATTATAAAAATAATTTTTCATAATGTATTGATGATATGAGTTAATAAACCAACCCACGGACAAATAAATAAATTATTATTCTTCGTTCTCTTTAATTAAATTGTTTTAATGCAAGGTGACGTTATCGATGATGCCCCCCCTTCATAGATTTCGTTTAATTTTAAATGTATTATGAAAGACGATATTTTCGCAGGTGATTTGAATAAAATTTAACATGGCGATGAGAGTAATAACCTTGTATAAACTTCAGTATAACAATATTAAGTTTAAAAGAGAATAAAAAAATATTATGTTCTATTCATTGAACAAATACAGATCTCTGGCTTACAAACTGAGAACCCATATTTTCAATTATTATTTAAAACGTTGGGAGAGTGTATGAGAGACGAGACACGCGTGTATGTGTGTTTATATTTCATTTATATTTAATATATCAATTTTTTCATTATTATTTTGCTTTTAAATATTCTTTGATCGCATGTGCTTGCGCCTATGAAAATTTGGGGGTTCAAATGAGCAAAACTCGACTTCCTCTCAGCAACACAATTAGTGAGCACGAGGCTTCGTTACAGACCAAAGACACACGGTACAATAGTAGTAAGCCAGAAGAACTCTAGGTGGCGCAGAAACAAATGGCGCTTTATTTCTAACAGCGCCGCCATGTAGCGTCGAAGCAACAAAACTATCCTTCATATAGCAGTGCATTTTTTATTATAAAAATATGCTTTGAGCTATGTTTTCTATATAAAAATGTGTAAATTTGATTCATTTTTAAATACAATCCGATCAAATACGATTTTTTCCCGACCCATCCTGACCGTCGAGTTCCCAACATTTTCAGGTTCATGCGCACCTGTACTTATTTGTAATGTGCAATGATTAAACTGAATCACCAAGTTACGTTTAAATGCTTTATTCCTGGTCGATATATACAAAATACTATATTATGTAATAAATAACAACGAATACCTTGCTTATCTCAAGAAAGGATAATAATCAAGCCCAGAATTGTACTTGAACTCATTTTTCTTACTCTTTTGGTTTTTAGCTAATTGTAATAATTTCTGCACATTAGGCCTGTGAGACAAAAAAATTGATGAAATTTTCAACTTCTGTTCCATAAGTACCTTGTTCATTAATAAAAATAATTACCTATAAGGTGCAGGTAATAGTTCTTCATTTAATGTGCATTCCTTATCTGAGTTTGGTACAATTTTATTATATATAGATGCTCTTACAATATCTATATCTCTCGAATAATCATCTTTTATATTCTTCAACGAGGATGGTGGAACATCAAAGCAAAATAGGAAATGACTGAAATACAAAAAATATAACATAACTATAATATTTCATCTATTTTATCAATATATTTCTAATAGATACATGGTACTAAATATAAACAAAAATAATATTTAACTGATAGACCTACCAAGCTTCTTTATAGACTTTTCCATTACTCCTTGCCTTGCATGGAAGTTCTTTTTCTCCCCAATTTTCAATTTTCCTAATGAATCCACCTTTATCAAATATATTATCTGCCACTCTCCTCAAAACATTTGCATATTCCGACTGTAAATATAATTTGTTAGTTACTTACATAAACTGAGCTTTAAAGTATATAAAATAATATTTGATGTAATAAGTAAACAATATTCATTTTTTTATTTGCTATGCCGAAACTTGTATATTCTAAATTGTACGAAAAAGTGGTCGATCTAAGAAAAAAACAATTAAACACACTTTGGAAGGTACCTAACCACAAAATGACTACCAATTATATTTTTACTTATGTAATTCCAGTAAAGGATGTATTACAAATTTTCATAGCGTGGAAGAAAAGAAAAATGGTCTTAAAAACACAAAATTGAATTAAAGAACAGGATTCTTGTAATATATAATCACATAATTAAACAACAGAATAATAGGTTATATAGGTTAAATATATTTTACGTATGTACATAAATACAAACTATACAAAAAGCTGCAGCTTATTACGATACCTGTTTCATGATTCGTAATAATAGTGGCATTTCGTATGTTGGCATCTTTATGAATTACTTTTATTTCAAAGTAATTAATAAAAACACTGCACTTCCCTGCAGAGATAGGCAACTTTTAAGGTTAGGTTAGGATCAGGCAACGTTTAAACTCCGATTCGGAGTCTCCGAAGTCTCGGAGCTAATTGGGGTGCGACGGGTGAAAGAGGTATTCATAGAGGGAAATTTGAATTCCGTTTCAGGTCTCTTTCTGCACCCCTAGCGGTTTTTTATTTTTTATAACCTGATTTTTCAAACCAAAAATCTAAAAAAATTCCACAACATATACCCTAATATCTGACGCGTTTCTGAATTTTTTCATATTTTTATAAACGGAGTGTTTTCTTTCAATAACCTATTGAATGGTCCATTGTACGTTTAATTTAGTGAGGACACTTTTGACATACTCTTTTAAAAATCTCTTTGAATTCTAAAACCAAATATTTTCAATCATAAAAGTACTATAAAAACATATTATTCAATCAATTTAATTAGGAATTTTTAGAATTTAATAATATAGTATAGATTCTTGGCAATATTCAAGGATACTTTTTATAACCATTTCGTTCTAATTAAGAAGTGTAATTAATTAGTTATTAGCGATGGTTCTCTAAGTTGTTACGTTAAAAACTTCGAAAAAATGTGTCGACTTCCGATATATGTTAATAACTATTTAATTACTGACGGAATGGTTAGAAACGGTATCCTTGTATTAAACTCTAAAAGTTCATAAACTAATCCCAGGAAAGAGTAATTAGTAAATAATCAAGCTATTTATCGAAATAGCGGACATTGTATCTCTCTCTCCTTGTCGCACTTTAATGCTCTCCTTTTCTAGTCGATTATGGCTCCATCTACGGCAAACCGTCCAAGTTTATCGAGAAATAATATGCTCTCTGCGACGCTTGGTGGCGTCGTAATCGATTAGAGAAGGAGAGCAAGAGAGTGCGATAAGGAGAAAGAGATACAATATCCGTCATTTCGATAAATCGATACACATAGTTCGATTATTTAATTACTCTTTTCCTGAGATTAGTTCATGAACGTTTGGAGTTTAATATTACAGCAGAGACTATAAGGGACTAGAGGTATGGCCCTCTGCAGTCATTTAAAAAAATAACCATATCCATAACCATAACCATAATTTTTGAACGCAATATGTACATGCGCCATTCGACAGTCCGTTGAGGTTGCAACTTGCAACCACTCGAAATTCGAGACAGCTTTCACCAACCAAATTTATGACACTTTGTATTTGCTTGACGAAATTTTATATTTTTTGCACATGCTGGCCTTGACTAAGGCTGTGACCACATTGAGAGCAGCTAAATTTATAGAAAATAGGCCTAAATTTATAGGTTTCATTTCTTTTTTGGCACTTTGCTGCTATTCGTTTTACCGCTCAGCCGCTCTCAATATGGCGACGGCCTAAAACATACCAAAACGCAGTTCTGTGTCATAAACCTGGTCGACTCACTGAAGCCCAAACAAGACGTGTATAACTAATTAATTACATGCAAAAATTTATAGAGAATTGGTTGAAGAAAATTAGATATTAATTAGATTCTTATGTTTTAATTAAATTATTTAATATCAGGCTTTTATACATTTTTATTTACAATTATATTAAGACATTATATAATTTCTGTATTCCATTCATATTGTGAAATATTCATTTATTACTACATACAATAGTTCATTTTTTTTTCACTTCGATTTATTTTCAGGTGATTTCTCCTAAAATAAAATAATAAAATACATATGATTATTATAGTTTAAACATAAATTTAATAAGAATAGGGGGAATGGTTATATATAAATGTAGGTAATCGAGATAGGAGGGGTACCTAATTAATTCCATTTATTCCAACTTTTTTGATTGTTCGAATTTTGTATTTCTGGTGTAGAGGAATTTTCTGTGAATATAGTTGATTCTAGAGGCTTTAAACTATCTTCGTTATTATGTTGAAAGGAAGCATTGCAGGATTTTAATTTATCTTCATCAGACCTTCCAAGTACTATGATCAAAACGTTTCTTTAATAAACAAAGTTCTTAAAAATTTCACTTTCATAATTCATAATTAATCTATGTTTCGTGAATAATTTAAATTACTCTTTAAAAATGTACAATAAACAATTATGAAACATATTATCTTTAATTAAACTGTTATATAACATTTCGGAATATATTTTAGAATAAAAAGGCAAACTATATTAATGTGATTATAAGGATAAGGGAGGAATGATGCAATAACGAAATATTTTTGTTGCATCCTACCTCCATTTTTTCAGTTGTAGTATTCGACGGAATCTTTTCAAAAAGTTGAGACACTTTTTGATAAAAATCTGACTCAACTATAGTTTTCAATAATGGGAAATCGTTAAGTGAAATTTCCGTTTTGTTATCGCCTGGTTTCACTAAAATTCATTAATAGTTTATATTTCACATTAAAAATGCAAACTTTATGAATTGTTATTTATCATTTTGTAATATTATCTTTTAATGTAACTTGCTTAACATTTTGTTGTAAGAAAATTATATTGATCAATAATCGTAACAGTTATTTATATTGATCGCCATTAACATATTTGCTACCACCATTCAGTTGGAAAACTATTTAATTTAATACATGGTATTTGTTATGAAGTATACAGGATATCTCGTAGCATGTGGGACTCACTTCAAGACTAGATTCTACACATGAAAACAATTAAAAAGATCCATATAAACACACATCCTATTCGACCTTGTTTTCGAGTTATGGCAAATTTCTTCAACACACCGTATTTGCTTACCTTCACAACAAATGTTCAAAATGAGCTTCTTGCATCTAAACACAGGCCTGGAGACGTTTTACCATTGACCGTCTTACCCTTTCAATTTTTTCCAGGAATTATTCGAATTTCATGGAAGCCTTGTAGTACACACAATACAGTGTATCGACAACGACCGGCGTCAAGTTACGCTCGACACGCTTGATGTTCGAAGCAGCGTAACTTGCAAGAATTGGTGGGGATAACCGCGGAGACTTGAATGGGCAAAAGTGTGGATACTACTGTAACCCCAAAGATAATACAACTCGTCGTAGCTCGAAAACAAGGTCGAATAGGACGTATGTCTCTATAAACTTTTTTTATTGTTTTCACGTGTAGAATCTAATCCTGAAATGGGTCCCACATACTACGGGACACCCCGCATAATAATAAATATACATACCACCACAAATGAAATTGTAACCAATATTTCCATAATGTTCCACTGTGTTAAATGTTTCTTTTGTTTCTTGAGGGAAACAAATGGATCCTACAAAACCAGCACCCACAGAAGTATAAAGTAAACGTTTAAAGAATCCTCCTCGAAGACCTAGTACCAATCCTGATAAACCACCAATACCGACAGCTCCTACTCGCGGCAAAAAATTGCTTTTATCTTGCAGGTAATCGATTACAACTATGAAAAAGAAATCATTAATTAGAACAGTTAAGCTGATGCTTTATGTGCTATACATATTATTACTAAATAAATTGTTCACAAATAAAAATAGTTATCAGATGTAAATACGTACAATTAAAATTTTCAACAGCCAATGAAACATTATGGGAAACGTCATCATAGACAACTTTTAATCCCTGCACCGATTGGCGTGCTTTTCTAATATTTTCCTCCACGATAGATGGTTGTTCTTCTATGCTGTGAAAGACAATGATGGTTTTTTCTTTAAGTCATCGATTATCTGCAAAAATTGTCTAATAAAATGTTTCTACAAGCAATACTATGACAGAAACTTTTATGTATACTGATTATTAGACTACAGAGAAACCTTAGTATCCACAGGGTTCAGTTCCAAACCTTTCCATGGATAATAGCAAAGCCTTTCAGATTTAAATTCAAATTAAATAGGGTTTTTTTATAAGATATTTTTATGCATGAGAATAAAAATACATTCATCAATATGAAATTACTTGCGCTTTACCATGGCATCTGTTTAGATTGCCCATCATCAACAGAATAAATGGGCAGATCAGACGGTTTTATTAATTTCTTTGGTTGTGTTTCATTACTACATGGTGTAGTTTGTTCTTTTTGTGGATTGACAGGTTTCATTACTGGTACCGCAGCACATAGTCCACACGGCATCAAGAATTTCTTGAACAACTTCATATAAACACATATCTGATTTCTCTTTCATACATTAGTAACAATATTTAAGCTACTTAAATAAATATAAATATCTCTTTCTGAGATACACCTGTTTATTTGGTAACATTATTGAACTTTACTAAAATATGAGCTTATATTCTATAAGCAAATATTCTATAAGACATATAAATAAGATTACGTAAAAGGAACCTATTTAATCGAAAATAATAAACGATACACTTTGATGATTAAAATTTCATTCATGTCTTTATAACTGTATAATTACCATTGTTCGTTGCATTTTATAATATATCAAGTTTGATCGAATTATGTTTAAAGTTTATAATTCATTCACGAATTACGTAAAAAACTTTAACACAGTTTCGGAAATATTTAATTTAACTCCGTACAAAATTGAATATTGGCATTAGCAAAATGTGCTCAAGCACACCAACATTTTGGCATGTTTTATAAGTATGCGACACCTAGTGTTCAATTCAAAAGTTGTATTTAATTCAGAAATACGCCCAGAAATTTCATTGAATGAAGAATTCTTAGAGTGTTGCTTATTGGTGTAATAAAATATAATTAGACTATAATACAAAAAAAGGACTTACCAGATTTACTCCCAGCATATATAAAAACTTGAAATGACGTAGAATTTATTGGTTATAATTAAAAACTTACATTACTTCGTATAAAATTGACATGCTTTATCAAGTTCTTGTTTACGCAGTCATTTGCTTAAAATTTCTAACGGTCAAAAAGAAGAAAATCGCGGAATCTCGAATTTAACATTTTCAGCGCATATTTTGTTACGTCTAATACTCCAAAATACATCGAAATTATTTATTCTTTAAAAAGGCAATTGTAATATTTATAATAATTAACACAAGTGAGCAATTAATTGAATTACTCACTCTTACACCGGTTCTGCCGAATTCCATTAAAACACCCGGCTGATAATCATCGCAACGATGTACTGGTTCCCTGCAAGTTATATCTTTACCAAATATTGTACCAATAGTAGATTCTAAAAATTTGTGCACGTAATTATTCATAATGATTTTGAATAGGTATTGTTATTACACTTCTTTAAATTTTATATTTTTTATATTTTATGCAAGATTGGAACTATTAATTTAATAATAAATTAGCCATTTTAAATGTGAAATTGCGCTATTTTCACGCATATCAGTAATTTGTCTTACTGCTGTGTTTCTATTAGAATTGTTTTCAAAAAATCAAGGGATCTGTATGTTTGGAAATGTTTATAATCGAGAATGGAAAAAGACGAGTCAATGTTTAAAAGACATAAAAATAATTTTATTAAATATATAATAAAATTCTTAATAAAATAAAAGTAAATATAAATTTTTTATTAGTAACAATACATTTTGGTTTTTGCGTTTAACTGATTTTCGTTCATTTATAGTTACATTTTATTAAAGCATGTGCTGCTTTAGCGCTAACGTTTCCCAAAGTTTGTCTTTCTTCATAACACTTATTATCATTTCTTGACTAACAGACCATAATCTTATTGCAAGTGCAGGATCTAATGCTGCATTTGATGGATCACAACGGTAACAATTATTGAAATAAACTCCAGTTACACCTTCCAGTTCAGGTGCAGTTGCACAGAAAACTGATGTACTTGCTGCTTGTTGCTACAAAATTTGAATAATTTAATAAGACTTCGTTTATACTTTTATTTGAAACAAATAAGTATCATACCAGTGATTTTGTGAAAGGTCGCACTAGCATGAACAAAAATCGTAATATCCACGAATAACGGGATAGTGAAGATGAAACCATGTTTCCAGGGTGGCAACTAAATACGCTCACAGAAGACCAACGTTTCGCCAATTCTTGTGCAAACAAAATATTACATAGTTTCGAATCATTATAAGCTCCCATAAACCAATACTTGTATGCAGGAGGGGAAAGAGTTAATTGATGAAAATCATCCGCTGTTCGAAGCGATGAAAATCTGTCGAGAAGTAAAAATAAAACATTGTAATTAGATTCTCATGACAGAGTAAAACATGTTTATTATTTATAATTTTTTTAAATTAAGAAATTTATAACACCTGTGAGATTCGCTTGACACCACCACTATCCTAGAATTAGGACAATTTCGAATTGGATGTTCTAACAAAAGTGTAAAATAAAACTGAGAAAGATGATTCACTTGAAATGTTGTTTCATAACCATCTTTTGTAATTTCGTAAGGAATTGCAAAAACTCCAGCATTTAATATAAGAATATTTAATGTTCTGAAAATGGCAAACACATTAATAATATAAATAAATTGATAATTAGGAATTTTTTTTATAATGTAGAATTACCCATATTTTTGTTTAAATTTTTCAGCTGCTTCTTTAACACTATGTAATGAGGATAAATCTAAGTGTAATGTTTCACATGTTACATTTTCCACTTCTTGTTGTATTTTCTGTACTGCTTCTTCGCCTTTTTTTAAATCTCTGCAAGCTAAAATAACTTTGCAACCATGCAAAGCTAATGATCTGGCAGTTTCAAATCCTACAAAAACATTAATACAATAATAAACAAATATATTTAGATAACATTTACGATTATTTACCTATGCCTGTATTGGCTCCTGTAACAATGGCAATTTTGCCTCTTAAATCTCGACCATATAGAACAGATAATGCTGTACTACTTCCATCAAACCGTTGCCGTACAGGTTGTGATAATTCTCTATATTCCGTAGCAAATGCAAGTCGTGGATCAGTATATGTTGTTGTACGATTTGCATGATCAACGAATAAAACTTTACCATCATCTAATGCACATCTCTCCCATCCAGATGGTAATTCTAATCAACAAATAACATAACAAAGTTTTTATCATATTGATTTATAATATTTTAGTAACTGTACAATGTTTACTAATTTAAAAATGTTTAAATATTTTAAAAGTTATTGTACATTATAATGTTCTCATTCATATTCATTTTCTACATTGACATAATATAAATGATAATCAGTTGACAATTGAAATGATCTACATTATTATAGTGATTTATGTAGTAATATTGTACCCCCTTCAACAATCTTTTTACGACCGGTCCTAGGATGTGTCCATTGTGTACCTTTCGTATAATGGCTAAAGAAAGAAAAATAAACATTGTTACGATAGATCCTTATTTTATAAATATACCTAAATCTTTTATATAGTAATAGCTTTTATCAATGTATTGCAATAGCGATGTATTGATAAAAATATCATAAATATAATTTACTTTACATAATAGACGTTTCCGTCAATAGTTGTCATTTCCTCCCATCCAGGAGGTAATTCATCTTCACTGTCAGAATCATTTAAAATGCCTACCATTTTCTTCAATGATTATTTGCTGTTTTTACATAGACTTGCATCTACTCATTAATTGCTTTGTCAGTGTTTATCAGGCGCATTAATTCGTGTACTTGACATAAATTCATATATATATAATAACATGTATGTATCTATATGTAATATGTATTACCAACGTCAAAACTGGAGAAAAACAATATAATAAAGGCTCCTTTTCAAGTAGAACTAGAAGTCATGATTTTGCTATTATACTAGAAGCTTATGACTATGTATATGCATACATACTAATTTGTATGTACATAGTCGCTAATGACTTTACAACATACATGCCAGAAGAAGCCCCGGGTGTACCGGGGACACCTCATTCTACTTTCTCCACTATACCAGATCACGTGTACGTGAGCTCGTAAAATTTCGGAGAGTCGACAAAGGCAAACTGATACGTGCCCTCTTTTTCTCGTGGGCATCGAGAGAGGAAAGCTCACATGTGCCATCCCGCTCTTGAACAACTGAAATCTGACCACACGTCAACGGCATACGATTTCGAATCTCGACTCCCCAGGCATTTTTACTTTCCGACCTATGTAGGCTCACATAAGTAAAGAACCTTACTACTGGCTACTGCCAGCCTCTGCTGGCCTCTGCTGACCACTGCTGGTCTCTACATGCCTCTACTGGTGGCTAACTTGAGTTAGCAGGTAATGCCATAAATGTTTTACCCACTTATACCCCTTTTTACCTGAAGTATAAGGTAAAAAGTACGAGGTACAAGGTACGACTACATGTACTTTTTAAATTTTCCTACAGCCCTACGCTGGCCTCTGCCGACCGCTGTTAACCACTCCTGATACTTCTGACAACGTATAACGATTACGACTGGCTACTGCCTGCCTCTCCCAGCCTCTGCTGGCCTCCGCTGACCACCGCTTATATTTCTGACAACGTGTAACGATTACTACTGACTTCTGCCTGCCTCCGCTGGCCCTGCATGCCTCTGCTGGACTCTGCTGACCCCTGCTGACCACTGCGGACCAATCCTGATACTTCTGACAACGTATAACGATTACGACTGGCTACTGCTTGCCGCTGCTTGTCACTGCTGTCCACGGCTAGCCTCCGCTGGCCTCTGCTGATCACCCCTGATGCTTCTGACAACGTATAACTATTACTACTTGTTACTGCTGGTCCCTGCATGCCTCTGCTGGACTCTGCTGACCCCTGCTGACCTCCGCTGACCACCCCTGATGCTTCCAACAACGTATAACGATTACTACTTGTTACGGCTTGCCCCTGCTGGTCTCTGCTTGCCTCTGCATCCCTCTGCAGGCCTCTGCTGACCCCTGCTGACCCCTGCTGACCACTGCTGACCACTGCTGACCCTTGTTAACAACTTCTGCCATGATATATATGTATTAAAGCTTTGTATAATGTAAATCTATGGCAATAAATGATATAATTTCAAAGAATTCTATGCGTTCTCGTCATTTTTACCTTTCTTTTCCTCTCGAAATCATTCCCATAGTTATAAGATACGTGCCACCTCCTCCCATATCATGTCCCCCTGATATCCTCCCAATGTCCTCGTCATTTCCTAGAAATCCGTAACCGTCACTCTCGTACCTGCTGGCAAAATCGAGAATTCATTTTTTTCGTCAAAAAGTCCTGAAACAGCTGGAAAGTCCTGAAACAGCTGGAAAGTCCTGAAACAACTGGAAAGTCCTGAAACAACTGGGAAGTCCTGGAATTTCTTGGAAACGACGAAAATTCTTGGAACCCCTGAATTTTTAGCAAAGTTCTGAGTTTCAGGACTTCCGAGGTGTTTCAGGACTTCCTAGTGGGTTCAGGGAAACCAAGGAGTTTCAGGGAGTCTTATAACTAAGGTAATGATTTGGAGAGGAAAAGAAAGGTAAAAAATGATGAGAACACATAGAATTCTTTGTAATTATATCATTTATTGCCATAGATTTACATTATACAATGTTTTAATACATATATATCATGGCAGAAGTTGTTAACAAGGGTCAGCAGAGGTCAGCAGTGGTCAGCAGGGGTCAGCAGAGGTCAGCAGTGGTCAGCAGGGGACAGCAGAGGCTTGCAGAGGCAAGCAGAGACCAGCAGGGGCAAGCAGTAACATGTAGTAATCGTCACACGTTGTCGGAAGCATCGGTGGTGGTCAGCAGTGGTCAGCAGAGGCCAGCAGAGGCAGGCAGAAGCCCGCACATGTTGGCAGAGGTTAGCAGAGGCCAGCAGAAGCCAGCAGAGGCTGCGAGAGGCTAGCAGTAGCCAGCAGTAATGGTTATACGTTGCCAGATGTATCAGAAGTGATATCTGAAATGATATACATATGTACGCTCATATATAGGAATAATAAAAATGAATTTATTTTTTTTCAATAATTCAAATATGATCAGGGGGTCTTAAAACGTGTATTTCCGTAAGAAAAATGTCACAAAATTTTTTTTCATTATAGTACTTTGCTTATGTGCGCCTACATAGGTCGGAAAGTAAAAAATACCTGGCCAGTCGAGAGTTGGAATCGTTTGTCGTCGACGTGAGGTCGAATGTCAGTTGTTCAAGTGCGAGAAGGCAAATGAGCCTTCCTCTCTCGACTCCCACGAGGCGATCCGAAATTACTTCGGGCAGCTTCGGAGAATCGAGAAAGGGTGCATGTGTCAGTTTGCCTTTGTCGACTCTCCGAAACTTCACGAGCTCACGTACGCGTGATCTGGCATAGTGTGAGTAGTGCACCCGGTGCTCAATCTGGCATTACTGGTCCCGATCAGCGATCTAGGGAGATAAGGAGTTGGGTTGGTGCCCATGGAGTGCTGAACCCCTCTGCTCGACGAGGCGCGCAAAATAAAACACTTTAAAATTTTCGTACTTTATTTTCTGTAGACTGATAAACTTGGTCGTATTTTAGATGTTCGCTGTACACTCTCGAGAATTGATCTGATGTCTAAGTTCTGATTTTTACAATAAGCAATCCTCGGTGGCCCCTACCAAGGTGACAGCGACGAACTTTGCTCAGCGGAGGGAGGACTGGTTAAGCCAATCCTCAACGTCGTTACCTCGGTAGGGCAGTTCCTAACATTTTTGTAACATTTCCACCCACTCTGCTATCTATTAATTAAAAAGGTCTCGAAATTTTAATCTCAAAAATAGCGGAGAAGTCACGTCTGTATCGTAAACCCACCGATTCTGAACGCGGCCGTTAAGAAAGGTTATAATACTCGGTATTTCCCAGCTTGATTTGCCCGCGTTGAATTTCATACAATAGTAATATACGTTATAAAACGCGAATTCGTTTGAATCTCGCTCGCTTGAATCGCGGACTCGATGGTGATTAATTCAGTTCCAATATATTCCTGTCGCAACGCTATGTGTACTAAACCCGAATTTACGCGATATAGTCCTGTAACAGTTTACTCTCATTCCGTTTTTAAGTTGAACGGACAATAAAATCATTCTGAGTGAAGTTGGGTACAAGCTACACGGTGCCCCCATGCGCACAGTGTGGCCAGATCGATGCGCAGTTTGTGCACAATCGATAGCATTTCATTTCTGTCCATTTCTGTCATTCTCTCAAACGGATAATGGCAGCGACGGCGATTGATATGATGTTGCAAAGCATTAGTCTTCAGTCAAAAAATAAAGAGGATGCAGAGAATAAAGACAATTTGTGGTATGTCAAAAGAACTCCCTTTTGTAAATATCGTAATGTAGATTATACGTGTATTCATAAATAACTGTAGTACGTAAGTATTTCGATGTTCTTCGTATGCTACATATCACAAATAAGAATGTTAGCTTTCAAGTGATTTTTGATTAGAATTGTCTGATAACTTATGTTATTTTCTTTTGTTTCTTTTACAGGTCCTCTATTTTAGCCGAAGTACAAAATAGTGGCAACAACAAGTTACCTTCAAATAAGAATATACTCGTTTTAGGTAAACTTGAGTCATTCCTTTCCTTTATTAATTCTGTTCTAATACGTTATGTATGCGAATCGCATGAATATTACGTATCATAGTGTAATATGTGATTTAATTTAGATATCGTTTTATCTAATAATATATTTATTTCTTTAATATTTAAATGTATATTTTGGTGACTATATTGTATAATTAGTTAGATATTTTATTTTTGATATTTAATGTGAAACCAAGAGACCATAGCAAGTCATGCATTAGGTTCACCTAGCCTTATCCATCGGTCTGCAAAGGTATTCAGAATTGTTTTCAGTGTACAGAGAAAATGTAGCAAAGCATCATCGTGCATGAAACACAAGTTACTTCTGATGTAGAGTGGCGCATCTTTATTATTTTTTAGCTTATATAAGAATCTGAAAATGTTAAAAATTTGTAGAGTTGTTGTTTTGTATAAAAATAGTATTTTAATATTGTTTGAAATAATATACTCTGCATGTAATTAATGCAAAATTTATTTATTTATAGGTGATAATGAAAGTGGAAAGACAACACTCATTGCTAAATTGCAAGGTGTTGAAGATCCAAAAAAAGGGTCTGGTTTAGAATTTGCATATATTGATGTGAGAGATGATTATAGAGATGGTAATAGCAATTTAATGTGAATAATATTCTTTAATCATGAAAGATAAAAGATTGTAAAGTAATATCAGTTAAAATTTTTATTTAGACCAAACTAGATTATCTGTATGGGTATTGGATGGGGATCCTGGTCATGCAAATCTTTTGAGATTTGCTTTAAATGGAGAAAGGTTTCCACATACGCTTGTTATGTTAGTAGCTGCAATGACTACCCCATGGGATATTCTTAATCAACTTCAATCTTGGGCTGCCCTTTTGGGAGATCATATTGATAAATTATCATTAGATAATGATACTAGACAACGATGTAGGCAGCTAAGTGAGTTAATTTTTGTATATTATGCTTTACATATACATATATAGTAAAGTCTCGATTATCCGAGATAATGCGGACCGCGACTACCTATGAGAATTAAAAACTCTGATAATACGGAAAGATCGAGTGTTTATAAATTATGTCAGAAAATCCCAAAAACAATTTATTTCTCGTATATTTAGATGTCAAAAAATGGCAAGATTACACAGAGCCTGGAGACGAGTTAGATCCCGGTAGTCCCTTACGACGCACTAGTCGTAATCTTGATGATGAAACAATTGATAATTTACCATTACCAGAAGGAGTACTTACAACAAATTTAGGCCTAGATGTTGTTGTTGTTATTACAAAAACCGATTATATGTCCACTCTTGAAAAAGAACACGACTACAAGTAAGGCACATTAAAATTAACAAGTGACACTGTTAAAATGAGTGCTAATAAATTATGTGATCAATAAACTTGAATTTTTTTTATAGAGATGAACATTTTGATTTTATGCAACAGTGGATAAGGCGATTCTGTTTGCAATATGGTGCAGGGTTATTCTATACATCGGCAAAAGAAGACAAAAACTGTGATCTGCTTTATAAATATCTTACGCATAGAATTTATTCATTGCCGTTTAGAACGCCTGCTTTAGTTGTTGAAAAAGACGCAGTACTTATGTACGTACTTTCTTTCAATCGAACATTCATATATACTTACTATGTTCTTAACATTGTTGTAATTATAGACCTGCTGGTTGGGATAATATGAAAAAGATCAGTATTCTCCATGAAAATTTACAGTCAATGAAACCGGATGATTATTATCGTGACGTTATTGCACAACCACCAACTAATAGAAAAGTATGTATACAAAAATTCAGGATTTCATTATAAAAAATACATTACATTTTTGTTAAATAGTGTGTGACCAGGGAAGTAGAAGTACAGGCTGAAGAGGAGCAAGCCTTCTTAGCGAAACAACAAGCTGCATTATTTGGTTTAAAAGATCCAACACGTTCGCCAACACTCAGGAACCAGGCAAGCAACGACCTAGTTATTCAGGTTATACCATTTATAATTGGAGCATGCTTCTCATGTTACATACAGTTAATTAATAATCACTCATCATTGAATAATGACGTTTTTGTGGCTAATTTATACAGCGACATCATGTGCGCAGTTACCATATCCACCTCTTCATAAATAATGCTTACCTGTATTAAAACATCTAATTTTGACATTTTTAGTACCCCGAAAATATCTGTTTTTGACTTCGATTAATTTTTTCAGCGAATGTGGTTTTACCATTGTGAGATGCAATTACTTAATACATGGCATTTACATTTCACCATCAGTTTTTGTGTACATTGATCTTAACATTGTATGTTGTACACTTTAACATTTTAAGATCATTGCGTGTTTTTTTTCATATGTGTCGTTAATTTGTTTAGATGTATCCGCATTGTTTAAGGGAGTAGTCAAAATTCAAAGTTTTTAATATCGATCCTTCTTTAATCTCAATTTTTTTTGGAAGTGAATAATTATAATGCAAACCTTCGATTCGCGGAACAATACAATCATAAAACAACACCTGGTATCAATACTTACAATCTGCACAGTCGGTTCTAGGAGTTGTTCCTACAACAAATTAAAGGGGTTAATCGCGTTGTCAAGACTCAGGTAGTTGTCGCGATACAAAAAGTCATCGAGAACATTTCGATTGGTGTGAGTACAACACTACACATACACCGCGTAATTACACCACGTTCCATTGCAACATCGATCATTCGAGACAATAACTCTCAAATGTATTAGTTTGGCGGTTGAATGTTGCGGCGAAATGTGTTGCGAAGGTAGGTCTTGGATTTTACAACCCCAATTTGAATCACGTCTATATTTGTATTCCTCGGATTAAATTGATTGTCAATTTATTTTTCGTAAATAGCAAACGTATCACGATTTACTACCTAATACAATAATAACATATTTATTTGCATGCTGTTCGGAATTCGGAGCTGATTTTTCAAATTTTTAGAATTTTTCAATAAATCAATATATATGTACAACAATCTCAAAAAAGTTTTTGACAATTTTGTGACTTGACTGCCCCCTTAATGTTTATATTCTCATTTGTTTTAGTCCATAGTTTGTAATTATATAATTATACAATACGATTGTTCTATAATGGATAACACGTGAAACAATACTTTGGATCCTTAAATTTTAGAATGTAAATTGATAGTTACGTTAACATGTTAATATGTATATTTTATTACATTTAGAGTATATAGAAAATGTATTTGCATACAGGATTTTTGGATACTTTGTGCCATTAATAGTACCATGAATTTAAAATATGTATAATGTTGTTGAGTAATTCATTGGATAGGATTGCCATGTGCTTTTTATAGTTAACTCTTGAAAGCATGTTCTAATCTATGTGGTATGATCTGTCATTGTTACGACAGGAAATTCTAGTTTGCAAATACTAAATATTTTTCAAATAGGTGGCTTCACAAAATAAGAAATTGGATCCTAAAGCTGCTGGGAATGCGCAATCCGGGGAAGGTGTTTTAGCTAACTTTTTTAATTCCCTTCTCCATAAAAAGACCGGATCGCCTGGACCACCGGGTAGTGTAGGCACAAGTCCAATAAAAATTGGTAAATATTATAATCTATTATGGCAGTGGTTCTTAACTTTTTTCCTCCATGGATCTTTTCTGGCAGTCTAATGGAGTTCGTGGACACTTTCTATGCAATGTTCCCCAGAATAACATTCTTAAATATTAGTTAAACCAATGCTTCTCAAACGGTGTTGAATATGCCGATTAGATCACATATAATGCATCAAACAAGACGAAAACTTACATCGATAAATGTTTAAAATTTTTATGTGTAAGTTCGTGGACCCACAGATATCTATGCACAACCCTCTTGAAGTCCATGGATCAAAGATTAAGAATTGCTGTACTATGATATTTCAGTATATCATGTTTACTAATATTTTTATCCTCCATCTTAGATAGCCCACCAGTAGACAAAGCGGCCATGTGTAATGATGCTGCGGCGGAATTAGATCGTTTGATTAAAGCAAAGAAAATCTCACCTCCCAATTTAAATTCCTCGTCTGAATGTTGAATAAACTGTATTTTCTTTGCGACCCATTCATTGAATTACAAACCATTTATATTGGTAAATTCTCGAAGACATCTAAGTACACATTTATGGTATTCTAAATGACTGCACTAATGATATCGAGCATTGTCATTTGTATTTATCAAACGCATTTGATGCACATAGAAATTCCTAATAGCTTATTTTTAATAATTTACCATGTATTGTGATTTAACGAATAGTTTCATATTTATTAATTTAAAACAATTTTTTCATAAAAAAAACAAAGTTTAATTATTAGTTTGTACATACATTGTGCAAAGCACAAATACTTAATTGCATTTTATAAAAGAAAGAGATAACATGATGTTAGAATTTGATGAATTTGTTATAGTATACTTACTAATTTATGAAGTGAAGCACAATCAAGTGAAAATTTATAAAATAATTATTTTTTGTCAATTTTTAATGTTCTTTTAATAGTGGGATCACCATAGTAGAATGAATTGTCCTGTATTATTTGAATAATATTTTTAGTATACTTTATTTAAACGACTAAATGTAATTAAAAATTGACGTGGGTCGCAACGAATTAACATTTAATTCATCAAGGACATTATAATTTAATTAAAAAATAAATAAAAAACAAAGGAACAGTACATAAGTATATTGTCACACTTACTAACAGACTTATTTGTTGCGCTTGATTAAATGCGAATATTGATGCAAAATAAGAATTAGGGAATTATTAAATTAATATAATTATATATTTAACATAGTAGTACATTCTAATTATGCTTACGCACATGTCCTTATACCTTGTTATAATTAATTATTTAATGATTGTCCATTGAAGATGAGAGAATCTTTTGTGGTATTCTTAAAACAACTCGTACTTCCGTTTCCTTTAATAAAAATATATCCTTATTTATGTAATATCATTCTCGTTGACATAACTCGGCTAATGAATCTTCTCTTATATTCGGTCTAATTTATAAAGTGCCGTTATTATCGTAAACGAATTGTATGAATACGAATAGAATTTTATACGAGTTATCGTTAGATTTGTGCGTAGTTTCTTTACCAAAGATGCAGAACCTATCTTTGGCTTCAAGAATATAACGCGATATAAAATTGGCGTGCATGTTTATGAAGTGAGTGAAAGTGTAACATGTTGTAACTTCTTTATCAACTTCTAAAAGAATTTTATGTAAAGGGAAAGAATTTGTAATTTAGTTATATGTCGCTTTCTGTATATGAAGTAATTTAAATTCTTGATTAAAAATGAATAATTTTTCATAAATTTATTATAAACCATACCAAGTCAACGAATAATATCCTTCTTTATGTCTTCTTCGTGGTAGTGTATATTAGGGACCAATGAAATATGCGTGTTTTATTGTCCTAGACAAAAATGGGATACACTATGACTGGTGACGGGAACTCTGTAAATTTTGACGAAGAAAAAGTATGAGATCTCTGATTTACGGTTTGATTGTCTCATACAGTAGCATCATATTTGCAATCAAATTCGCCGTATCGAAAGGGTTAAACATCGCGCTGTGGAAGACGTCCTCCTTAATTTCATAGCTTGTACAAAATTTTTAGAGAATTAGTATTTTTGTAAGGCTTGAGATGTTTTTATTATTCAAATTGAATACAATTAAGACAATTACACGCACAGTGTAACAAAATAATACAAGTAAACGATAGTACATGTAAATTGCTGTGATCAAAGTATTCGCGTTACAATCTGATTTCGTCAAAATTACGGACGATGGGATCTACGATCAATTAATTGATTGAAGCGATGAAATCGAGAATGGAAACATAAAGGCAAGTTTTTAAAATATTTCTTTAATATTGTCAATACTTCATGACACAGAGACAGAGATGCCAGACGGAGCCCCGGGTGCACCGTGGACACATTCCATTTTCTCACCTACGCCAGATCACGCGTACGTGAGCTCATAGAGTTTCAGAGAGTCGACAAAGGCAAACTGACACATGCTCTCTTTTTCGATTCTCCGAAGCTGCCCGAAGTAATTTCGGACCGTCTCGTGGGAGTCGAGAGAGGAAGGCTCACATTTGCCTTCTCGCTCTTGAACAACTGAAATCCAACCCCACGTCAACGGCATACGATTTGGATTCTCGACTGCCCAGGCATTTTTACTTTCTGACCTATGTAGATGCACATAGGCAAAGTACCATAACGAAAAAAAAATCGATTCCTGACAACTTCGGACAACATATAAAGGCTACTACTGGCTACTGTTGGCCTCTGCTAACAACAGCAGGAGACTCCTAGCAACCTCTGATATCATATAACGACCACCACTGGCCTCTGTTTGTCTCTTCTGGGTCCTGTCTGTCTCCGCTTGCCTCTTCTGGCCCCTGCTGACCACTGCTAATAACAGCACATGACTCCTGATAACTGTTGACAACACATAACGACAGCTACTGGCTGACCATTGTTGACAACAGCAGGCATCCCCTGACAATTGCTGACAACACATAATCACAGCTACTGGCTATTGCTGGCCACTAACAGCCCCTACTAACCTCTGCTGGTCTCTGCTGGTCTCTGCTTGCCTCTGCTCACTACTGCTGACCACTGGTGACAACATATAATATAACACAGCTACTGGCTATTGCTGGCCTCTGCTGACAATTACTGGCATGATATATATGTAAGAACGTTTGTGTAATATAAATCTACAGCAGTAAATGATACAATTTCAAAGAATTTAAAGTGTTCTCATCATTTTTACCTTTTGTTTCCTCTCCAAATTATCTGTCTGGCGCTTGAGGATGGTCACTGTGGGGTTTTAGCCGGTAAGAGTCTGGCATTACCCGCCGACCCTCCCTTCAGGCGGGCTCCGTGGGTATCCATGAGGATTTCCCCACGTACAAAAAAAAAAAGTTGAGGCATGTAGAGACCAGCAGAGTCTCAGATGTAGAGACCAGCAGAGACGTTGTCAGAAGTATCAGGAGTGGTCATCAGTGGTCAGCAGAGGCCTGTAGGAAAATTTAAAAGTACATGCTACTTTATGATGGACTATAACGCTATCGACGACCAGAATGCCCAAGCTTGTCGAGAAATCAGTTTGCCTTTGTCAACTACTGGCATAGTGTGAGAAAGTGGAATGAGGTGTGCCCGGTACACCCGGAGCTCCGTCTGGCATCTCTGTCATGACACTACAATAATGTTTCACGACCCTATGATACTTCTATTGGTGTGTTTACAATTCTTCTTTTAAATGCAATTTATTAGTATCTCTAAATGAAGAGTCATTTTACAGAAATACTATGACAACAGGAATGGCTTAAAAGCTACATGTCACTGAAATTTATATCTTGTATCATACCATTCAAGACTCCAAGTTAGTGTAATTATTCTTAATATAACAAATAGACAATAACTAATCAAAGTATTTTTATGTGGATTTTAATTAATAAATAAAGTTTCTTAAATTTGTTCAAATATAAAAATGCATATTAATAATGTTTTTGAATGCATTGTTAATTTTATATTTTGTTATATAGTATTTAATTAAATGTGGTAATTGTGAAGGATTTAATTTTTCAAGCATTGGAGTCTTGAATTAGATTTCAGTGTCTAATATTTTTAAATTATTAAGCTACCTATTTTAAGTCTAATTAATAAGATTCCTATTCTAAATATAATAACTGTCTCGCAAAAACTTTTAAAAAGGAGTTGTAAATGGAAGAGCAGGGAAACAATAGTTAAAGTATTGCATACATTCTAAAGAAATTCAAAATAAAAATTAAACATTTTGGGTAAGATCATGGTCTATGTTGTGCGTTATTATTTTTATTATTTAGAAAACGTTTATTCTAAACGTTTGTAAACCAATATATAAGCATCAATTTGAATATGTTATTCAAAAAGAAGAAAAATAATTTATACCATATACAATGTGATGAATCACATCTTTGTATCATGAAACAAACTCATGATCATACCCTATAAAAACGTACATAATTCAATTTTAAAGAAATGTCAGTTGGTGAATTTAATTACTGTAATTAATGGTTGGAAGTTTATAATTTTTACAAAAATGAATATCCTTCGAAAATAAGGATAATGAATCAATAATAAAGCAAGACACTAAACGCTAATAATACAATTATAATATTTATGTCGAGAGCAGAATTACTTATTTATAATGCTACACTTTATTTTCGATACTACAAAAAAATTTTTTATGAGAACATCGTCAAAGAGCAATATTCTTCCTCATGCTTTTTTTCAGATTAATCTACGACGTTTGTACAGAATAATAAGATATAGATCATTTGAATTTATAGGTATAGAAAAATGTATAGAACTAAATTTAGTTGCCTTTATAGATCAAAAGTTTTCTTTCAACGTTTAGTTTCTTTAATGTTATGAATGTCTTCAATGATCTTTTCTATTAAGGAAAATTATTTTTGTTGTCTAATAAGACATGGATAGTTGTACACTCCATACTTACGCAAATAATTGTTAATTATGATTTTTTTAATATTAACTTTAAAGTCATTCTTCAAATATGAAATATAAAGTCAAATCGAAATATAAAATTATTTCGAATTACGTTGATCATAACGATTAACTTCTTTAAATACTCCATAATTAGATGTTCAATGATAAACTAAATTTTCTATTGCTTACAAAACTACTTGGCACTATCCATTGTCGTTGTAAGTATCAAAACTGCGAATAATAGTCCTGTTTATGTGGTTTCAAGTAGGGAAAGCAGATGCAGCTATATTAATTATTAGGCTGAGAAAAGAATAGGTGGAACATATTTACAAGAAATTTATGCACAGTGACTGCAGGACAAGAGAATTATATACTATAAAATCTGTTACAAAAAAAAATTAATAACAAACACAAAAGAGCTCTTGTAACAAAAGACAAGAGCATAGAATGCATGTTTAATACAATGTAAAATAGATAATAGCACGCTGAAATTCCAGCATCATTGCTTAACTATCACTATTGCAAAATACAAATTTTCTTGCCCCACTGATTGATTATACCCGATTAAGGAAAGCAAAAGCTTCGTGAAAGATTCGCTGGCTTGACTCTGTAGGAAATTGTAGTTTAACAATACCATTCGTAGTACTGTTTGAATTTTTATCGAATATAGTCAAATGACAATTGTGCGTACAAGTTATGTACCGCGGTAATTGTAAACATCAGTATGAATACATGGAAATGTCTTAAATGTGCTTATCGACTAATGATAATTACTAGAAGACAATTGTCTATTTATTATTGATTATATGTCGGATAAAATTAATTGAAGAAAGAAAGGAAACACAGCACTGCTTATACTTATTAGACAGTGACTAATTTCTTTCATACTTCGCTATAATTATTACGTCCGTTTCGTGTTTTGCGTGATCCGCAGTCAATAATCTATTTCGATTGATCGATCAATTATAATTGCGTCGCATAATTAAGAGCCGAAGTTTTAAGTTTCGTGAAGAAATGAAGTTCTTCCTTCAGTCACTCTTTTCTAATAAAGGAACAATTAAATATCGCGTCGTAGAATAAATTTACAAATGGAACGTAAACGGACGTTAGTTTACGAATTAATCCAAAAATATTATTCGTTATTCAGGAACAAAATTTGCCCAACTCTGGTTATAATAATAATTCAGATCTCGAAACTTTAAAGTGGTATAAAATTTGCGTCTGAGTCGGCGCAATATTTAATTATTCTTTTAATCTTTTACCTATACAAAACTCCGGCCTGAAAAAGTATTCAGTTTCCTATGTTTAATAGAGTAAAATCCGTCTATCTACCGCCTTCCGGCATATCGGGCATTCTGACATCCGGTCTCCACACATTTGGCAGGTTCCGTGGCCGCATAGGAATATCATGTTCTTCAAACGATCCAGGCAAACTGGACACATGGTCTGTAAAAACAAAAGTACCACGAAAATTAAATATACCTGCTCGTTCAAGCGAATTCGTTAATTGAATTCGATTTGCAGCAACGATCGGATGAATTGCCAGATTTAATTAGGTAAATGCTACCTTGAATTAATCGATTAATTTGCACAATTTGAGCGTTTGATGCGTTTTACGTTTAATACCTGTTCCTTGATGTCCTGAAGTTGTTGTTCAAGTTTCTCTATATCGCTCAGAGTTTTATCTATGCTTCCGTTGTTCATGAGAGGTTCCCCGTTTCCGGTAGTTTGTTTGCTCGTTGTTGGTTCTTCCTCTGGATCGCTTTTTACCTCCGAGATAGTACCTTTTCATAATAAAATAATGCGCGTAAAGTACAAAATGTTTCCCGCTATTTTCCATCAAAATTTAATCGTTGCTTCAGTAGTAAACATGTTTATATAAAATAAACTCGATTCGAGTATCGAAAGTTACAATACTAATACGTAGGCAAACGCGTGTTGAACAAAATGGTGGTTATATTGAGTAATAATATTAAATTTCAACGGAGTTACGTTCCTTCGATGTGAACGGTCCAAAATGGCGGAAACTTTCAAGATGACACAAGTCTTTGAAACTTAAAATAGTTAAAATAGCATTTGTACCTGAAGTATTGCAGCCTTTAACGTAAGTGACGTCTCCTCCTCCACCGCAACAGAGGGACAACGGCACCATGTGTTGAATCTGGGCTCTGCATTGGACGCATTTCTTCATAAGCGCAGCGCAACCTTCGCAAGCACACATGTGCCCACACGGACGAAACAGTACGCCAGCCTTGCGATCAGAACAAACGACACACTCCTCAATCTGTAAACAAGTAATCTCGTTTTTGTTAATGTTGTTAATTGGATCTATCCATTTTCATAACTGGACTCGTAACACGGATTAGAGTTGGCTATTTACAGGGGGACAGTCGTGGACATTGCTTTTGAAACGATAGCAGGTGTAAGTTATAGTACATATTTAGTATCAAAAAACCTTAATAGGTTTCTTCACAGTGGGCCTTCGTTTTCAAGATATTTTTATTTAAAATTTGATACGTACATTAAAAAAGAATTATTTAAATTTATTTTACTATTTTTATTATTTTGAAATGTAAGAATATATTTTATTTATTACGTATATATGACATAAATATTAAGACAAAAATCTTTAAATTTGTAACACAAAAAACAGTTGTAAGTACAGTAAATTTTGTATTTGGAATAAGTCCGAAAATCATAAATATCGATACTGACGATGCGAATGACTAATACAGAATTCACTTGATAATGATATATAATGATATTTTACTATTATACTCACTACTGTTTTTTGTATTAAAAATTTAAGGGATTTTTGTTTTAATATTTATGTCATATATACATAATAAATCAAATATATTTTTGCATTTCAAAATAATAAAGGAAAAAAAGTAACTTGGCGGGGATTTGAATTCAGTACCGAAAACTTAACCAAATCCTGTTCCCTAAAGTAAATTTAAATAATTCTTTTATTTTGTACGTATCAAAATTTAAATAAAAATATCTCGAAAACGAAGGTCCATTGCGAAGTAACCTATTAACCCATTTGCATCCAAGCGCGGAATATTCCGCGAGCCGCGACTGTTTACTATCGTCAGTTGAACGTCGCTGATGTTTCAATGCGGAAGCTTAAGTAGAGCGATGATGCAAATGGGTTAAGATTTTTTAATACAAGGTATACACCTATATAATGTCCACGAGTGTAAGGTCTCCTTGTTAGATGAAGGATACATACATACTTGCTCTTGATCCATTACCAGGTACGAAGGTTATTCGTACGGAATTCTCACATGAAAATGCCTTACCTTCATTCTGGACAGAACGTTCTCCCTGCAGATCAGACATTTCTTCACCCTTGGCGCACAAGTGTTGCAACAAGCGACATGTCCGCAGGGGCTGAAGAGCATTTCACGTTTTCCATCCGAGCAGACCAAACACTCGTCGATCGTCGCTGACGGGACTGTCGCTTCAATATTGTGTCTGAAAGTATAATTACAAATACAAATTTGTTCATCGAATTGTCAATTTTCAGTAAACGCCAAAGATGGGCATTTTTTAACGTTTTTTATATTTCAGGAGCATAGAATGCAATATTCAACAACGAGGAGGTGAAAATTAAGCTGTTATTAAAATAAATTACTATAGGATTGATTTTATTCGACAAATGCCCAACACTGTCGTCTCTCGAACAGCGTTTATTTTCGAGGGCTCGTTCCCAACGAACCGTGTGACGTTTCTCGTATTACAGGGATGGAAGAGAGTAGGATTACTAACGATTCTCTGTCCTTGTGGCAAGTAGTTAGCGTTTTGCAGAGATTCGGATCCGGACAGAGGTCAAGGGGAGTCTGTCCCTTCTTGTTCTTCAATTCCAGGTCGGCTCCGTGGGCAGCGAGGAAGCAGGCAATGAACGAGCTACTCTTCTTGTCCTGGCCCTGCGCGCCCAGACCCATCAGGAGGCGTCCGACGTCCTGGACGTCCTGCAGCTGTCGCAGCTGCGACAACGTGTGATATCTCAAGGCTTCGTGAAGAGGCGTGTCGCCGTCCTTGTCGGCCACGTTCAAGTTGGCGCCCTCGCGTACCAGCAGCTGTACCAAGATTTACGATCCGCATTTAATTATCGAAAACCGATGCAAAATTAATCCGTTGTTTCAATAACATCTTAATATGTACGGGACAGTTTCCAACTACACGGACAACGGTAAATCCTGTATCCGCTTTGGAATATTGTTCCAGCTACGGCGGCGTTACCGTTCGATGGTTCCATCTTTTAGCGTGAATTTGATTTTTTTAAGATTGCTCAAACTATCGCTTTATTGGGATCGAAGTTCAATGATAAGATTATTTCACTGACGTTAGTAGACTTTTTCTCGCGAGGCCATGTTAGTCTTTTGTTTATTCCAATAAATCGTGAACTGTTGACGATTTTAAAGCAATCATCCGTGTCATTAATGAGATACAGCCTGATTAGTGTGCTAGGACTTATCGAAAATTGGGTTTATCGTCATTCGAATGATATTCATTTTATTATATTTTAATTCAAAATTCACGAACGAATCTAATAAAATTTTTATCCGTTACTTGAAAATAAAATGGGTAGTTTCAAACTAGTTTTTTCAATTCACAATTATTGTTTCATAGTTTAAAAAAATGTTCCTCATAGATAGAAATCTTTCACATTGGTTACTATCACGACCGCAACAATTAATATTTCTATATTTTAAAAGAGTTTCAAGTAATGTTCTTTTTGATATAATTAAGGAATTTTTCTGAAGAATTTTACCCCGAAAAAATTGTTGAAAACAGCTTTTAAGTCGTCGAACGTTACGGTCGTTTTTCATCGAGGGAAGTATCGCGATTCTTTCCGAGGGAAAGCTCAACGTTTGAAATCTTTTTTCGAGAGAAACGTCGGGGAAATTTAGTGGACCATTTGCGGAATATCGGATCGTAGGCGAAATTCCTTTTCCCGGTGAAACAAACGTACACGAACGATCTGCGTGTGTTGTCGCTCGACGGCGAGATGCAGCGCGGTCTGCAAATTGACATTTTGCAAATCCAGGTCAGCTTTTCCAGCACGTGCCAGCTGTTCAGCAACTTCGACGTGATTGTTGAGGGCAGCCAGATGAAGGGCCGTGTAACCGTCGTCCTTTTTCTCGTCAACTATCCATGGTCTCGGAAGTTTGGAGAGGAGTACTCGCATCGCGCTGCAATCAGAAGAAAAAGTATCATCGCATCGGGGCACCACTCGTTACTAATTTTAATTGCCGAAACTTTCCCGCATAACTGTAACGCGTCGAACAGGAAAGAATTTCGCAATATTTCCTGCTAATTTGCATCCAATACGGGACATTCGTTCGGAATGTTAGTATGGAATATTTAAAAAAACTAATTGACATCCAACTGGCTAACAAAAGGTATCAAACAAAATATTAACGTTGTTTTTATTCGATAAATGTATAAAAAGAATATTTCAAATAAATGTTCGAAATTTTTTTTCAACAGAAACTAGAATATACAGGGTGTTCGGCCACCCCTGTGAAAAATTTTAATGGGAGATTCTAGAGGCCAGAATAAGATGAAAATCAAGAATATCAATTTTTTTACTGAGGCTTCATTAAAAAGTTATTAACAAATTTCAAATCATTCTGAAAAAATTATTTTCGATTGTGGGGGTCAATTACAATCAGTTTTGGTCATTAGACATACCCTCAAAATCCTACCCACTTTTGAGAAAAAAATTCGAGAATGTGTGGAATTCGACAAAATTAAAAAATTTCAAATCGTTCTGGAAAAATTACTTTCGATTGTGGGGGTCAGTTACAATCAGTTTTGGTCATTAGTCATACCCTTAAAATCCTACCCACTTTTGAGAAAAAAATTCGAAAATGTGTGAAATTCTACAAAATTACAAAATTTCAAATCGTTCTGGAAAAAATTATTTTCGGTTGCGGGGGTCAATTACAATAATTTTTGATGAATAGGCCTACCCCTGAAATCCTATCCATTTTCTAGGAAAAAATTCAGTACGGGCGGAACTTGAAACGTTAATAAATTTTTAACCAAGCCTTCATCAACAAATTAGTATTCTTGATTTTCGTTTTATTTTGGCCTCTAGAATCTTTCCATTAAAATTTTTCCCAGCGTTGACCGAACACCCTGTATGTGAAAAGAAGAAAAACAATAAGTTTAACGAACTAGTAAACTCTTGAAGGAAGATTAAAGAATATTACGAGTAAAAGTAAAGAGCAGATATCGAATCATAGCATTAACAGACGATTATCAATAAATCGATGCTGGTTGCAATGTCGAAAAGCGGAAATACAAGCAACTTAATGATCGTCGCCGTTAAGGCTCGTACAATACGCGTTTAAAGCAGGTGGAACGGAAATCGCGATTTTCTCTCGCAAATTCAAAATGGATTTGTTATCAAAGGATGTGCAATCAATTACATTGTTTGACAAACGTTTGTAATTCGATGCCGCATTATTGCTTCGCATTAGTGTCGCCGCGTGCAGTTAACCGATGATAAATCGTCCGAAATCAAACAGATATTCGTCGTCCGGGTATTTTCGGACCTGTCGATGCGAATAGTTTACGCGGAAATCAACTGAAATCCTTTCGGTTTATGACCGCGACATCATTAACAGACGCGATTGTTGATTAACACACCCCGTAAACTCTGATTAGTAATGGCGCCGTCCATAGATTATGTATTTAGTAACAGATGTTCACGATAGTGTACCCACGATCTATACATTGTTCCCGGTAACATTGCGAAATGGTCAAAATTTAGTTGCTCCAATTAAGATTCTTACAAAGAATTATAGGAACAATATTTAGGTTCAGAATCGGAGAATGTTTGTCAAAGTAATTTTCTAATTAGAGCGGTCACGCATCAAAGATTATGCAGCGGTATTTAAAAAAGGAAAGGCTAAGGTACACGTTGCAGTTAGCGTATCTATATAACAATCGCGGTTCTAATTTCAGAAGTTGGTTTCGTCGTTGCTATCTTTGCTGCATGTTAATTATAAAGACTTGGTTTCACCGGTGCGCTCGAAAGACACTTCTAACTATGGTTGTTCCAGTTGGACCCCATGGAGAGACTTTCCTTGAGGCTACAGGCAGAAAGAGACATGACAGCTGTCCTCTGACAGGACCTCCTCGAGGCACCAGCACGGTTTGGGGCACGTCAGGCATGCATATGTTTTTGTCCTACGCATATGTGCACGTGTTCGAACGCTTCACGTAGATTTTCGATAGACATCGAGCTTCCGTTTTTCGACCAAATCGATGTATTCCCAAAGGCACCTGCCGTACAGGCAACGATATATTTTTTATCCTCAACGTTATGGTCATTACTGGAATTCTTACATTTTTCCGTCGAAAGAACTGTTCATTCATTTATTTTTTTACCTTTGGTTTCATTATATATTTTTCAACGACTAATACTATAAATTTATTTAAATTTATTCATTTATTCATGTTGGTTTAAGAAAAACATCCCACCAATTGCACGGAGCCCCAATACTATCGTTCATAATTCCGGGTTTTCGAAAAATAATAAATCAAATATCAGAAATAATCACTCAATGGTTCTCAATAACGCAAGACGATTAATTTTTTTCAATGTTGCAACTGACAAAGGACCGGGTGCAAATGCCGCGAGCAATTGATTTTCACAATTACAGAAGATAATTGTCAATTTGCGATCGTTAATCGATCGTAATTGCTAATCGTCGATTTGATTAAATTTTGCCCAACGTTGGTCTTCGGGTGTTTAATAAATAAATAAATGGGACGCTTTGTTTAATTCAATAAATCACCGATACAGGAAAATAGTGTTCGCGCAATTAACGTCGATTAAGCCCATTATTCGCGTCAGTTCGTATAATTGTCGTTTTACCGCGGAATCGATTTGCTCGCGCCTAACAGCCCTTTCCACCGTTTTATTCGATTTCTCGGCGTCATTACGCATTTTACGTCTCTCCGTTTGCACCAGAAAGACCGCCACCCGGAGACTATAAAATTTTTATGGTGCTTCGGTGGCGTATTTTTTTATTAAGGCGAATCTCGAAGGGCCCGCGCTGCGGTTGAGTGCAGCTGCAATCACGAGCCCCCGTGCACCGACCGATTTTATCGGTATACATATTCAAAAGGGATCGAGTACCGCCGCTATGGCGTCAATAGCCGTAAATTGATTAATTTGTCGGGAAGAATCGCTCTCTTTGCAGTTTTCGCTATTCGATTTCAATGCCTTATTAAGAGGAGAGCGTACAAATTCTCCAAGTTTCTCTGCTTTATTATTTCCTTTCTCTTCTTTAGGTTTCTTGCAGTATTTTTACATCCTTCTCCCTTTCTCTTTTCTCGTTCTTCCTGGCTCACCTCGTTCTATTTTAATATTTATTTAAAAGCATTATTACAGATAGAATTACTTGAATCGTAAGAAAAGAGATAGAAAACTCTGTGTACGCGTACAAAATAAATACAATATGTAGACTAGTTATAATTCGCGCGCGCGAAGGAGACGAAAAACGCGTGTTATTGATGTCCACCGTTGGGGGGCGCCCTTGTTGTCTATTGTATGCCCCGTGCAGATAAAAAATACTTTGTTCTCATTAATATTAATAATTACTAATATACATATATTCCTACTATGTGTTCATACTAAATATATTATCACTTATTATTTCTAATCAGCTTGTTTTTCCTCACTGCGCCAACACAATATAAGGAAAAGATCTAGAAAAGCTACCTCATCGATTTGAATGATTTTTGAATATATTATAAAGAATGTCATTTTCAACGGTTTGTTCGTTTAAAAAAAAGAGATAGAAAACCCACTCTGTGTACGCGTACAAAATAAATACAACATAAGGAAAAGATCTAGAAAAGTTACCTCATCGATTTGAATGATTGTTGAATATATTATAAAGAATGTCATTTTCAACGGTTTGTTCATTTAAAAAAAGAGATAGAAAATCTACTTTGTGTACGCGTACAAAATAAATACAACATAAGGAAAAGATCTAGAAAAAATACCTCCTCATCGATTTGAATGATTGTTGAATATATTATAAAGAATGTTATTTTCAACGGTTTGTTCGTTTAAAAAAAAGAGATAGAAAACCCACTCTGCGTACGCGCACAAAATAAATACAATATAAGGAAAAGATCTAGAAAAGTTACCTCATCGATTTGAATGATTGTTGAATATATTATAAAGAATGTCATTTTCAACGGTTTGTTCATTTAAAAAAAGAGATAGAAAATCTACTTTGTGTACGCGTACAAAATAAATACAACATAAGGAAAAGATCTAGAAAAAATACCTCCTCATCGATTTGAATGATTGTTGAATATATTATAAAGAATGTTATTTTCAACGATTTGTTCGTTTAAAAAAATTGCTTGGTTGCACAAGGTCGCTTAAGTAACAAACATGTAAATTAACGTCCAACGGACGATAAATAAATTGATGAAAAATTTCATGGACGCGCCAGTTGCAATAATATCGTCAGGATGGCGTCATCCGTTACTTGGTTGCTGTAGATGACACTCGTATGACGTATCTTCTACTGTATACGTCGTGTGATGTGTTCAAATATCGAACATGTCGCTGTCATACGATGTTTCGTTCTGTTAGATGCACGTTCGTGACACACGAGCACACATGTCGCATCATGTTGCTATTTGAACGTTAAATGTTCTACAAACGTGTCTTCTTAAACCCTTCGCGGACGAAACAATTTAAAGCGACGTGTACTTTGGCTGTAGTCGTTTAACATGATCGTGGTAGTTTCTTAATGCGCGCCTTTCGAAATTATAATTTATATAAGCATTTCCAGACGAGTGACAAAGATATGAGTTCATAGGCCACATTGATGATTTATGAATCTTTTTTAAAACGAAGTATTATTAATAGAACCTTTTATGTATGTTTTAAAACGTAGTAAAGAATGCTCTTTTACGGCTTAAATTAAATGTATATAATTAACGAAAGAAAAAATGAGACAAGAGTCACAGGATTCGAACTTATAACAAAATGTTATTAGTCCCCTATGTTTCTCACTACTCCACAGTTAGCATCAGACGAAATTATCTGTTACTAAAATATGTCTAATTAAGTGACTTTCCAAATTTCACACTTATTTTTTTCCATAACTAACGAGCCATCTACGGTTATAGCTTCGGTTATAATTATTAT